AGACAAATTACAGCGCTAATATAATATTATAGTTATTGTTTAGGCATGATAAATATTTAGTTATTTTTTTCAGAAATAGAAAAATGACTTCTAAAAAATATTGCATATATTCGAAAAAAGAAAAGATAAGTATTATTCAAGAGATCAAAGACTCTATTATAGTATTAGAACGTGATGTAATAAAGATATATCAAAAACTTAAAAGCATTAGCTGAGAAATATATTATCTATATGATATTATGACACCTGAAGAAATCAAAAATGATGAAATATCTAATATTATCAATATGTATAGCTACTAGCAATGCGTCTTCAGCAAATTTTGCTAAATCTATCACCAATATGCGTAATTTTATTTTTTCGTTTGAGGCAAGATATAATATATATAAAATATCACAAAAATGGTAACTGATCAAAATCATTCATTTGATACATCAAGAGAACAGGAAGTTATTAGATATACAAAGAAATTAGCCCAAATATTTGGACTAAATAAGTAAAATGCAGAAGTATATAATGCACTTTCCAATAAAAATAGGGCACTAAAGAAACAATTGGAAGATTATCATTCTCAATATAACACTTTGTAAAAAGATTAGAAAGAGATGTAAAGTCCTTAAAGACTGAATTAGAAGATCTGAACGAATGTGTAGATAAGAAAAACTGTGATCGACATAATACATGAAATAGCTCCCTTAATAATTGATAAAAAAGCAATGAAGAGGGCATGGCTGAAGAAGGTTAAGATAAAGAAAGCGAAGTATTTTCGATTAAAAATACAGCATATATTATTTATAGCGCATTTGGGTATTATAAATTTACCAGAACTATTAGAGCAGATTCTATATTTTCTAGCGGTAAATAAGTCACTATATTCTGCTCTATTTGTTTCCTGATTGTGATACAGATGTGATGCACCTATTCTGTGGAAGCATATCAAATTGAGAGGAAAAGACTTATATCCTGAACAATCTTTTCCAAATGATTACTGTGCAAAGGACAAAAAAATATAAATTAACTAACCTGTTCTAGTCATGGGCATTGGTCCGTACTAGCTGAATTTTTTACGAAAACTTCATTCTATTGTTGAGGAAAGACCTTCAGAAATAACAGTAATCCCTTTCTAGTAAAATAAAAACGTTTTACCCTATTAATGAATTCTGTATTATCAAACTTGAAACGTCTAAACTTTTGAATATATGCTCTCACATCTTTCTCAGTATCTTTTTTTATCATTTCTTCGTTAGTATAACTGATAATATCAAGATAAGCTTGAATTATGCTTATATCCGCTTTCAGATATAAAAGCAAATGGTATTTTTCTCTAAGTGAAAATTCTCCCGTTGATCTTTCAATAAGATATTCTCTATATTGATGTAATATATCAAGGATTGGATTACTACCAGTCTCAAGTTCCTCCTCTATTGATATAATTTTCTCCACTAAATCTAACAATAGATTATTTGTATTATCAAAGCAAGCACATACTACCACTTTTTTGCTTTGATTCAATTCTATTTAGTTTGCATTTTCATTAATAGATGAGTCTGTGTAAGACTTCATATCACGTTTTTCTTTGGCTATGTGCTCCTGAATAGCTAATATATCTATCTTCTTATACAAAAGCACTTAATATAGTTAATTTTTAAGTATTTCGCTTTAAACAAATTTATGATTAGTATTACTTGTCATGATTATGTTTATCTTTAGCTAGCATATATTCAATTTTGTATCTGGAGTACTGATCATTAACCAAAGCAGTGATCACCAGCTCAGAAGAATTTGTTGAGCTATAATGTATGTACTCATGTATGACAGAAACGAGCAATGATTAACCTATTTTTTTGATTGAAAATATTTAATCAATCTACTAGCAAAATGTCAGATGACGAGACAGATGAAGGCTACAATGAATTTATCAAAGAATATGAATCAAGATATGAATGGGTAATGAAGGGAATTTCGATGAGTGGAGATACTGGATCGACCTTTTTTGTAAAATTAAAACCTACTGGAGGACAAAGGCAGTTAGGCATTGGAAAGAGAAAGCGTTTAAGTAATTTGTACATAGTCTGCCTAATATAAGAAATCTATCATCATTATTTCATGTATTTATATATTCTGATGCTTTCTATCTTCACATATTTTGAGTTTGATAAAATTGCCATATTATCTGCATGAACTTCAAGAGAAAATATGGCCAGATGGTATTGAGAAATTCCGATGTAGATTGTTTATTCAAGGTGAAGAATCAATAGTAGATTACTGTTTAAAGGTGAAGAAATGTAATGATATTGTCAAACTCTGTAAAGGTCATTTTAGAAGTGAATTCTATAGTGGATTAACACGAAAAAATATGAGATGTATTGCAAAAAATGATTATTATTATGAATTGGTAGAAATGCTTATTCAAGTGGAAAAAGAGTCAGTGACTAGTATTATAACTAAGTTTAAAGATTATATTAATCAATCCAGTATTGCTAATCTGAATGGGATACAATACTTATTGAGAGGCATACATTGGATAACTAACCCAAGCAAAGGTAGTCTAAAGCAGTAATCTTTAGCTCAGAAGAATTTGCTGAGTCACAATACATGTACTTATATGCTACAAAAATAGGCCGATCATATAATAGGTCTGTGCAATATAATAATTTTTGCATATATATTCGAAAAAGAAAACATATATACCAACTATCTCTATTTTTTCCTGATTGAAAATTCTTCTAATTATATAAAATGTATACAGTTAATTTGCTTAATTGGCTTGCATCTGAATTAATACCCTTTATTCTAAAGAATTTATCGATACAGGATCTTAAAAAATGTTGCAGTATAAATAATATGTAGAAAGATGAGGTGCTTCGAGAAATTCACAAAAGATTGATAGTGGACTGTACATTTGTTGATGATAAAGTAACTGTTAAGGCATTGATTGACCCTAATTCTATATGTAATAGTATTAGTAAAACGCTTGCTTAAAAAATTGGTTTATATATTACTAGAGAATTCAGATCAAAATATCCTGCAGTAAAAGAGTTTAACATTGACGCAACAAATGCTAGCAAAAAATTGATGGTAAGAGGATAGGTTAGTAGAGAAGAAGTTTCCATTTCTTTGCCAAATATATTCTATGGGTTAAAATCACTACCTCTGGTAATAACAGATACAGAAACTTTTGTAGTTGTTAACAAGCCTGAATATGATTTGATTTTAAATAATAATTTGCTAATTTGAATGGGAGAGAAAATTGATAAATGGGATGTCAGATATTGGAAAAATAATGAAGAGAAAAGATTTTATTATCTAAAAAATAATATTGATATACTGTCTCCTTTATTATATACATTTTACGAATTATTATTCCCTAATTTCACCACAATTAATTCAGATGGGAAGGTCATAATAATTAAGTTTATCAAACATGATCATGAATTCGATGATGTAAGTGAGTATTGAGATTCAAAGTATATTGAAACGGAATCATCCAGCTCTGAAACTGAATCAGAGGATGAATATGTCTATAGTAATAATGACCCTCTCCGTTTAAGATACTCAGACTAGTCCAGAGCGGTGATTAAGAATTTGCTGATCTATAATACATGTGCTCCTGTGTGACAAAAAAAGTGAATTACCAGTCAAGTTTCATGTAACATATTAATTTTCGCATATCGAAAGAAGTTATATATATTAACCAATACCTCTATTTTTTTCCCAAACAAATGTGAGAAAATGTGAAAGAAAATCTACATGTAATACAGTACCTACCCTATAAGTTAATAGTGACGACAAAAGCATATATTATGAAAGGCTGAGGGACTTGCAATTCTGAGATCACTAGATGTAAAGCCAACTATATATCTTTCTAGTAGATCTTCATGTGAAAGGGTTTGAAGATTCCATTTGCATGTGCTTTTGCTTTAACGCCTTCAGCTATAGAACTCTTAGTATTATACGATAATACTAATCACGCCTTGTACCTCTATAGCTTTTTCTCAATAAGATATAAAGCATATAGGAGTATGAAGAAGTTCAGCCAACCTTCCCGTAAAAAAATTAAGATATGTATTAAATATAACTGCTATTTATAACAAAATGTTTCAAAACATCTTTATATATGTAAAGTTAAAAATTTATTTACTATAGGCCTTCATATTTAGGAAAAGCAAAATACCAGAAATTAGACTTAACTGTCTTGTTGTTCTTATTAACTGTCTAATCGAGAAAATCACATGACATCATGTTATTACAATCAATATCGACAATAGGAAATCTATCCATTCGCTCAGAAAATAAATTAAAGAAGAATATTCACCTCGGTTTGATGATATTCTAATTACTGAATTCATGGTCTGTGTAATCGATTTAAATTCAGATAAAAAAGAAGCATCAATTAATGCTGAATCAGTAATGAATAGTGTACAAAATAAGAGTAAGATACGAAGTGAGCAATTTCCAATATCTAAGATTTTTAAGCATTTTCCTGATCAGCCTTTCCAAAAAGTCATTTACATTATAGTATATATAGATATTCAAGCATCTCAGTAAAAAAATGTAATGTGATATAGTCATGCGAAGCGTCTTAACAGTCAAATTTTATGTATTGTAGACCAGTTCCAGTAACGTTTTTTTATTTCTTAAATAAAGCATATATTATGTTCTTGTCGTAAATCTTGAAAAATACCATGTGAAATGATGCTGACTAATGCAATGCCTGTGTGATATAAATGTAACTATGCATTAGAGAATATACGCAGTAAGAAAAGTTCTCTTAATACACATACTCAGAGCATCCTCAGATCAATATGAACAATTTACGGCTTTTATTTTTTCCCTGTACCAAATAAGCAATTGCTAATCCCAAAAGGTTAGATCCTTGATTTTGCATTGAGTTTATATTGTATTTTTCGTGATCAATGTTGCATTTATAATTTTATATATAAGTATAATATATACTGTTTAAAAAATGAATCTTTTAATGATATCTGACAAATTTCCCAATGTTAAATATTGGATTCCAATTCACATTAAAACATCTCAAGAGATATATGAATAATTCAAGTTATAATGAAGATGACATTGAAAAAATCGAAAAACAGAATATCGGTAGAAAAGTATTTCTCAGATTAACTATACAAATGTTTACTAATGAAAATGGTTCATTCAAAATTAAGTTTGGGAACACAACTGATATTATGGAGTTAGTAGAAGAACTCAAAGAAAAACAAGGTGAATTACTATGATAATATATGTCTCTTGAATAAAGCCAAGCTTCTGTTATACTATAATTTATTCCTTATATTTTTTAAACAGAAGAACACTCTACATCTGTTGAAGTTGTAACTGCCTTTGAATTTAATAAATTACGTGATAACTACCAAAAAACATTGAAAGAGAATAATAGAAATATCAGTAATATGCTAAGTGAGATTAAAAGATTACATGAAGGAGAGTATAGTGTTGAATTGTTAGATCCATATTATGTCCGCATTATATAACCTTTTTCAAGAATTTATTTTCATATATCTGTTGTTCTAGCAATATTTTTTATTTAAGAAATAAAGCATTTATTATATTCTTATCGTAAATCTTGAAAAATGTCACGTGTAATGATGTAATATAATCACCTGATAATCCTGTACTATGTATTAATTGCATATATATATATTGAGCAAATGCATTATGAATCGATACAAAAAATCTATTATTTCTACCTGAGCACCAAAACCAAAAATACTTTTATATCCATAAATCAGTTTTACCTGTAATTGCAGTTGAGTGCATATTTTCACAAGCACAAACACACATATATAAAACCATGTCTTCACAAGCTTCTTCATCTACTTCACCCACCTCAATAATGGAAGAAATTTCTTTTTGAATAATGTCAGACGTGATTAAGAATTTTAATACAGATGAGCTTATCGATTATTTAGGGAGGAAGGACTTGAAACTCGATAAGGATGATATTAAAATTCTTTGTAAAGAGAAAATATCTGGTCTTGCCTTACTTGACACAACTAAAGAGGAGTTTTTAAGTTATGGCTTGAAGGCTGGTTCTGCAACAATACTTGTAAAATTTATCGAAGACCTCAGTCAGAAGTTACGAAATTATTTTTTGCTTAAAACTCTCAATGATCTGAAGGAAATGTTACGTAGAAATAAGGTCAATAGGAAAGATATAACAAATATTAAGCAGTTTACTCCTGGTAAGTAATTAACTAATTTTCAAAACTGACTAGATAGCTATATTAACTTTATTTTACTCTGTAGTCTTTGAGAAGATTAGTGATGATGATAAGGTATTTGATTATTGTATAGAGGACATTATCTTAAAACTTTTGAACGTGAAAACTATGACCGATACTAATAAGACCACATACTGTGAATTTATTTCAGCTATATTACATGCATCAATTGTCATCGCCAAAAAACTCATCTCTCAAGATATATTCATAGTTTTACAAAAAGATATTTCTGGCGAAAATACAACAGGCTGAGTAGATTACGTAATTAAAAATCTAGAAGATCTCCTATGTATCACTGAAGGAAAGCCTCATAATATAAAGATTGGATATGCGCAGGTAAATTTACTACTCAGATTCGTATTTTAGAGCGTGTTATATGTGACTGCACTAAGCCAAAAGAGATTCAATAATATTAACACGTTTTATTTCTTAGAATCTGACGCAACTTGAAAGTGCATTCCAGACTAATAAAAAGAAGCGAATTGCAGATCAAGCGTTTGGAAATGACTATTTTGATTATATATATGGTATTGTGTCTACAGGCACAGAGTGGCATTTTATTATATATACTCCTGATAGTATATACTCTATGAGTGGAAGCGAATACCAGATTAATCTTACAAAATCTGCCATCAAAGAAAATCTAGAGTTACTCTGAAGCAATGTAAAAAAGTAATAGGTATAATTGTTAGGTTGTTGAAGGATCGGGTTAGTGTAGATAGTTCCCCGACTAGCAAGAGGGCTAGAATCAAAAAAATTACCAAAAAATAATATGTATTCTGGGCTACGTTCTGAACATTTGTATTTATTTTCGTATGTATTAATAAAATTTTTTCTTGGCATTTTTCTGAGACCGTACGGTTCCAGAAAGCTGGTAACTTTATAACCTATTTCTCTTGGTAAAATGTCACAGTCTCTATATATATTTATATATTTCACTTCTTGTATAAAATTTATCAATCATAACATCTAAGCTTGAAGTATTGAAATAGCGTATCACTGAACTTGAGGCTAAGAATGCTGAACTTGAGGCCAAAAAAGCTGAACTTTTAAAGCGAATTATAGAGGAGAATACTAGACATGATGTTAGAGTTGAGGAACTGAAGCAAAAAAATAAGGAGCTTGAGACCAGACTTGCAATAGTGGAACAGGCTTCCTTACTAGTGGAAGAGCAGTTATATAATGATAATCCTTCTGACGATAGTACATCTAACTTTAATTCAGTTGTGGAGTATCATGAGAAACCATTGGTGAATGTGAAAACAGATAATTCCTTTCCTAAAGAGGTTTGCTATAATAAACAAGAACTGATAAGAAAAAACAAAAATTTTATTTTTTAAAGAAAACTTCTATTTTTTATTAAAACTTTTATTACACAATATGTCCCTTGATATTTTTAAAAACCTTTTTACTAAAGAAGTCTTAGACTTTCAAAAACTCAAAAACTACATTATGCCTGAACTTGAAAAAAGAGACTTTGCCATCGCAGAATTTCTCTCTTACGAAACACTAGAAGTGTTTTGGCTTATTAGAAAACTAAATGAAGAATATCTAAAAGCTTTTCCAGCAGAACGTACTGCTCAAGAAATATTTTTTAATAATAATTTTATAAACAACCTTGCGAGGTCTTATGCCTACAATATTCACGAAACTGGATCGAGTGACCATGGAACACATAACACAGAACATATTATTTCAAATACAATTGAAACCGCTCTTTTCATCAACGAAAATGATGATATTATTTCAACTGTCGACGAAGAGGAAATAAACTCACAAATGGACACGCTCAATAATGATGACATGCTTACAGATTCAAATATTACACGACATAATAATCTTCCTTTGTCACAAATGTCTTCTCACGCACAACAACTTTCTTCCAAAATTCATAACAAACTGTTACATAATAAACACAATAAAGATAATAATAAACAAACTTACGCGTCTATTTTACAACAAAACAATAATAATAATACTTTAAATGCGTCTGTAGATCACATACGCAAAAATAACAATATTGACGCGTCCTCACACAACCCAATCAACAACAATAACAAATAAAAACCAAAGTTACATGAAAAGGATCTTTGTCATACGTTGAATAATTCTTCTCATGTGACTCAACCAAATAACAAAGGAAATATTTTCGTGTCAATCTTAGCTTTTACTATGCCAAGCAATACTAGAATGGACAAATTGAATCTCATATCCTCCATTTTTTCTCATAAACCTGGTTTTGTTAACATTGACTGGAAATTTCACAATGGAAACGCAAACATTTTTATAGAATTCAACAATAGAAAACTCTTATTAGATGCCATAGATGATGCTTTGACGAGTCACCCAGAACTTCTATTTAATTTAATAAATAAGGCTCCTTTATTGAATCTACATCACAACAATCTCACTTACAAATTAAAAACAATCCCTAGCAATATTATATAACATCATATAAACAGAGCTCTTTCTTATTTCAGTTCAATCGCTTCCATTGTGGATCAATATAGAAATCAATACTCCTCGTCACGTGACGTTATCATCACGTTTGACAAAGTTAGAAAACCACATCAGATGAATACGGCTTGGACGCATAACATAAACGGACAAGTTTTTAGATGTGCGCATATTGATATTTCGATAGATGAACTAAAAAATAAGAATCGTTATGTAGCTGGCTTTAAGGTTTCATGAATAAAACTATACCAGCTGGTACCTTCCATACCCTAAGAGCATTTAATACTAGATCTTGTTACTTCCACAATAACATAGCCTACGCTGCCTTTGCATCTGAAAAAGATATGAACTCAGCGTGTCACAAAGAATCATACATAATGGATATAAACTAGATGGAAGACCTAGAGTCCTTAACCGTCCTTACACACAAGCTGAATTAACCCATTCATCTGATAATACCACCTATAGGTCCCCTATCAACAATCTTCAAAGAAACAGACGTCTCTTATTCAATAACAATCTAAATAAAGGGAAAAGCAAGGATGTTGAATACACACCTGCTACCACACAAAATAGTAAAACTCTTTCCAATAGTACTTTTAATTCCTTGGATTTAATTTTAGCCAAACTCCAAGAACTAGACTCAATCAAATCTCATTTGGCAAAATTAGATTCTC